GTGGGGAATGGACCTGCTTGGCATAACCCGTTTCTTTAGGCAACGGGCACATATACTTCCGTTGCTACACATAAGCTGTTTTTGTTCTCCAGTCAATATGATGACTCGTCGGAAATCTTGTGCTGCCCCTACCGTACCTCCTGCACCACGCCCACAGAAGCGTGCGGTCCAGGCGACGCGAGAATCCCACAAAGCAAAAAGGTCAAAATCAGCTGGCCTGGCCACAGTTCCTAAAACGGACAGCCGTCAATCCGCCTCGGAACTTCCCTCCCAATTGGTCACTGTTCCAATTGCCGGCAACGACGCAGCCCCTGCCCCAGAGGACGTCGCTGCCATAGTCTCCGAATCATTTAATTAATCATTTGGCCTGGTATTTCGTATGAAACAGCACTTGATAAAGCTTCATTATCCACTCTTTCTGACCGTCAGACAGTCTCGTGCATTAAATTTATAGGTAAGGTTCGGCCAGGTAACTCATTATACCCACTAATACACAACAGAGTGATATTTATTTCTACCAATGTGTGTCTAAGATCAGGGAGTTCTTTCAGGCCCGTGGCCATAAGGACTGAACGTTTCTCAAATTTGTTAGTGTTAAATATTAATCTTGTCAATAAATGTAGCGTATTAGTATTAAAAGCTTGGCTAGTAAAGAAATTTTTTTAGAGAAGTTGTCCTTCCTTAGTTGGTTATGGTTTGAGTAATAATCTGCGTTCTTTCTACAGAAGTACACAGAAGTAACGCTGTTTGTTTTTAATGAGAAATCCACGGTTTTCCTAGATTCCTTATGTTGTGTTTGTTCATTATAGAGAGCTTTAGATTTGGGGACGAGAACGAGTATCGGAGAACGAGTACGAGATTTAACTTAACTTATCTGCATGTTTTCTAAAAAAAAGACACCCGGAAAAGCTCACTTTTTTGTTTTTTACCAAAAAAGTTATTCCGTTTTTTTTTTTTTTTTTATACTGAAGGAGGTTACAGCGGTTACCACTAACACGCGCTTTCAAAGGTTTTTTTCGTCGGGTTCAAACTTGCGTTTTGATGGACGTCAATCAACCGTTACCATGGTTTTTCACGCGTTGGCCCATAGCAGATTCTTTCCCCGTTTCTTGAGCACTCGGAAGAACATGCCCGCGTTTGAGCCGTTTCTGCAATATTTTGCTACAGGATCCCGGCACAGCTGCATGTCAAGATTACGAGAAGTACGAATTTGTTGAGTGCTTGTCAGAGGAAACTCAAATTATCGCTTTACACACACTGTAAGTTACAACAACATAAGCTTTCTCAATGCACGTTCGCAACTCGTCTGAGTTCTTGCTAGTTCTGGGTCCTATTCGATAACATGAAGAATGATAAGTAGATCTGCAGGTTACAAACTTCATTTTCGAAAACAGCCTCTATTCAGAGGAAACTTTCTCCGTTGTCGGTGTGATATCTTTCGTTTCTTTAAATTCTACTCGATCCTTTGCATTCGTGGTCCACGGCTCCCGTGGTTTCATACAATCAAATAAATAAACAACCTGATAACCTTTACGTAAACTGTAGAGTGTGTTTCGGCTATTTCACTCATCTCGCAGAGACCTCGTTGTTTTAACAATGTAATCCTTCATCTTAATGAAATAATTAAAAACGCTGTCGCCATTCGAAGTTATTCTTGTAAGTTCATTCAGCGATGATGAGGGAACCATCTCTGCCAGAGCGCGTGCAAAAAACATGGAAACAGTTGATTGACGCCCACGAAAACTCAGGTTTCAACAGAGAGAAAAATCCCTTCGAGGGCGGGTGTTAGTGGTAACCGCTGTAAGCCCTCTCCTGATAAGCAAGATGATAAAAATTCTTACATTTGATATTTTGTTCCCGCTAGTACGGCAATCTCACTAAAACCCATAGTAGAGTGACGACGGCTATCACGTTTTCTCTCCAAGCTCTCTAATAGTCACATTACTTTAAAAGTGAGCGTCTTCAGTGGGGGAGGGGGGTCTTTTCTGTGCTATATTTATGATTCCTTTTTTTTTTTTTAATCAAGATATGTCTACATTTTGGGCCGCAATTTTACTTTTTGAAGGACAATATTTTTTGTAGTTTTTTTTATTAGACACCCCACATTGAAATAAAAAAAGGGTTTTAAATTAAT